TCGCAATTGCACCATATGCCAATGGTAGAAACCTGGAGGCAAATCAAATGTCCGCCTTCATTTCCTTCATAAGGAAATGAATAGCTGCAATTCATTCGCACCACTGGGTGCTACACCACAACAGTGACGCTTCAGAGCGACGTCTGCTGGCCTCACACGATTTACATGAAGAATTAAAGTTGCCAAATAATGTATGTAGTTTGATCCATTTGCATATGTGTTTATATAGCATGGGTTTAAGATAGGAGAGATTCATAGGAAGTTAACACATAAATAACTTGGTGGGTGGGTGGCTGGGGGGAGATTAACCAAAGAATTTATATGCATAAATGCATAACCTATGGACACAGACAATAGTGTGGTGAAGGCCTGGGGCGGGGGGTGGGTGCAGGCTAGAAGGGGTCAGTGGGGAGAAAAGGGGACACCTGTAATTCTTTCAACAATAAAGATATATATATATATATTTAAAATATATCTTTGATTTCAGAGAGAGGAGAGGAGAGGGAGAGAGAGATAGAAACATCAATGATGAGAGAGTCATTGATTGGCTGCAGCCCGCAACCTGGGCATGTGCCCTGACCGGGAATTGAACCCCGATTGCCTGGATCCTAGGTCGACGCTCAACCACTGAGCTACGCCCGGCCGGGCAACAATAAAGATATTTTAAAAAATCCTTGTGAATTTTTAATTTTTGAAAAGAAATTTAATAAAGATTCAAACAAAATATTTTGAGACCTGGATTACAAAATGTATAATCTGTAGTGTGGCATCCTTAGGTGTGACTGCCCAGGCTTGGCAGGTGCTCAGGTTTCTGGATGATGATGGTCAAAAGTATTTCTCCTTAAACACTAGAGAAATGGGCTTGTATTTCTTTAAAACCTGATTGGAACCTTCCAGCTACAGGACAGGGACATTGGTGGTTCTTTCTACTCTTCACTGTTTTAAAGAGGGAGAGTAATGAAATTTCATTAAATATAAAACTCAATAGTCTAATCAACTTTTCAGTTTATCCTTTTATCTCTTTGGATCCTGTTTTTAAATTCTATACTTCCCCCCTTTTCCCAGCTCCCTGCATTCATTCCTTAGACCCATCAGTTATAACCTACTGGAAGAGATATTTGTAGGCAACAGGGAGCCACATTTTTAATTCATTTATAAAGTAGGAAATCTATTTTCCATTAAAAAATTTTTTTATTAATAGCAGTCGCACTGATTTTATATATGTTTTTGATTTCCTAATATCTTTGCATTTCTTGCTCAGCTTTGTTATCTTTTAACTCACTTTCCTGCCTTTATTTCCTTATGCTCTTCTCTTAAACATAAAACAACTAACCCTAAGGCTCATTCTTTTTTTCTTTCCATCTTTGCTAAGATATAATTGACAAAACTGTATATATTTAAGGTGTAAGACTTGATTTCCCCCCAGTTTTATTAATGTAATTGACATATAACAGTGTAAAGTTTAAGGTACAAAATATAATGGGTGTTCCCCCAAAATGTATACAGGGTGTTCCCTCAAAATGTATACACACTTTAACTGAGAGCTCAATTTTGAAAATGAAATGTATTTTAATAAACACTGCCTGTCTAGTTATTCTAACTGTGTGTATACATTTTTGGGGGACACTCTATATGTGCTTGTTGTGAAATGATTATCACCAGTTTAGTTAACATCCATCACCTCCCATAGTTACAAATTTTTTTTCCCCCTTGCAATGAACTCTTTTAATGGCTACTTTCGTAGCCACTGACTTGAAGTTTTTTGATGTATGTTTGTGTTGTTCTTGTGAACAAGGCCTTTGATATTTGTATTAGCTTATCTAAAATAATTGGACTGTCGTTGGTTTTCTGTTCAGTTCTACATTTCTACCTTTATATCTAAACTATGTTGAAAGTGCATGTACTTATTCATTTTCCTAATATTTGTATCATTTTGCTAAACATGGTGTCATTTTGGTAGTTCACCTTATTCTTTCCCCTTCCTGGGGACCCTTCATATTTCCATTCCTGAATCTCTGAGGGTTAACGATGCCTGTTTTTGGCGGCCTTTAGAGAATGGTTCACAGTTCTCATAGTTCGAGTTCCTATTATATGACTTAACTCACCTTCAGTGGGAATGGAAATGCTTTCACTGCAAGTTAGACGTTATAGAGGTGACACAGGGAGCTTTCTATGGGCTCATCTCTTTTGAATCCTTGATTCAGTGGGATATACATTCAGATATGAAACCACCTGAGCTGGATTGCTAGTCTTCTACTGTTTTTTGCTAGTTGCTTTTGACAGGGTCCATGCTGCTTAGCAGAAATCTGAGAGAAGCTGCATTTCTCACAGCCGTCTAAAACCTACTAGCTAGCTGCCAGATGAACCAGAGAGAGCTATAGAAAAATGACATAAGGGTCATGAAAACATGAAGGTTTTTAAATATATTAAAAACCTTCTGGTCACATTTTGCCCTGATAATAGCATAATATATACAAAAGATAAGTCAACTAAGGTTGGTAAAATCTTTCAATGTGTATGTTCCAGAGGCATAGAAGTAATTTACAATATAAAAATGTCATGTTTGATATATTTTTCTCCCTCCCCTTTTCTGCAATTCAGTCTTGCTAGGTCTATGTGGTTCATTGAAAGCCTCAGGGTTTTGCGACCTCTAAAATTAATTTAGGCTTCTGCACTGTGGCTGGGTTGTGAGCACATGGTAGGGATCCACACAGTGGTTTGAACTGTGCTAGGACCTGAGGAGCTGCTCTCTTCAGCTTGTCATTGCTGAGAATGAACCAGTTATGAAACATCTTATACTTTGGGCAGGGACTAAAGTATGGGCTCTCTCTCTCTCTTTTGCCAAACCTCTCTAAAGAATTCTAGCACGTTAGATTAGTTTGAAAAGGTTCTTTGGAAGACATCTGGTTAGCCCAAAAGAATTTTAAACTCTGAATTATAGGCTCATAAAATAATCTATCCCAACCACTCAGCTGATTCCTAAGAATCTCTTCTGCAACACAGTCACCCAAGATCATGCAGTCTTAAACTCTTCCAGGCATCCCACTTCCCTTATGTCAAGACAAAAAGCTGTTACCTTGAAGCTTTCATTCACTGGTGCTACTTCCTCGGGGCCATACAAAATATTCTAGTCCGTGATGAACCTTCATATATTTGAAAATAATTCTTATTGCCTTCTTGTATGTTTTTCTCCCCCCGGGAGAAACTGTGGAACTTCCTACTCTCTTGAAATGATTTTGGCTCCTTATCGTCGCACTCTACCTCTCTTGAAGGTGCTCTCGTTTATTCACATCCCATGACAAAGATGAATATAATATTCAGAGTATGGGCTAACCAGCACAGAATGAGTAGTATAAAAATAAAATTCCTGAAAACCTTGCTTTTAAAGCAGGCTAAACTGAGCTTTATTGGAAGGCATGTTCTGCAACCACTTGCCCGTGTTTCTCTTCTCTGCCTGCTTAAATTCCTCTCCCCACTACCTGTCTTTGTAAAGTGCTCTTTACCAGTTCATCAGCTGTCTACAAACAGTCACTGTAGCCGCCTCCTCCAGCCTGTAATCTCCTTGACGTCTCGACTGTCCTCCAATCATCATTTCTTTTTGAAACCCCATCGTTTGCATAGGTTTTCCTTATGCCTTCCTATCCTCGCCGGTTTTCTTCATCAGCCTATTACATATGACAGGCTTAGTTCTTGCGCCTGTACCAGCTCAGCTTCTGCTAGCTCTGTGCTTGCTCCTTTGGGGAGCTCCTTTACTCTTATGCTTTCAATTGTCACCTCATTGGACTGACTCCAGATTTCTCTTGAGTGATGCTATTGCTTATCCCTTCTAACTCAACAATTTGTTGTTCTCTCAGTGTCCCACAAACTAGCTCCTAGTTTGTTATTGATTTTCTGTCACCCAGTTTCAAAAGTTATGGAGCCATCAATTTTTTTCTTTCCCTTACTTACATGTAGTCAGTCATCATGAAGTAGTGATTCTTCACTGAAAAAATGTTATCTAAATCTCCTGTTTATTCTCTTTTCATCACTTATTATTCCAAGCACCTCTTAACTAGATCTACCAACTAGGATGTTTTCCCTTTTCAACCTATTTTGCACAACCACAAAATTAATATTTTAGTAATGCAAACTTATTCACTTGACTCTCCCTTCACAAATACCCCATGAAGCTTCCACTTGCCTGATGAATGTAATACAAATTCCAGGTCTGTGTTTCAAATCCTGTCATAATCTTCTTTTAACCCTCCTTTTCAAAATTATAGCCCAGAATACTTCTCACGAACCTGCTGTAACAATTCAGTTGCCTTCTTTCCCTAAAGCATGACACAGCAGTCTTTAATTTTAATCCCTTTGCCTTTTTTCTGCTCTTTCTACCTCATCAGCATAGCAACATCTTTTGGGACATGTCACATACCATCATTCCCTTCCCCACGAGGATAACCCCTTTACCTTCTCATTCCAAGAGGTTGGTAACTTTTATTATATTGTCCATCTAAACTACATTTTGACACTTCAGTTTTATTTTTTCAAAAATTGTCATATTATGTCATGTTACAAGCTATTCAGTTGCTGGGACTCTGACATGTTTTTTCTGTATACCCCTTATTGCTAGAACAGTGCCTTGCAAACATTAGGCCCACCATGAAAATTGGTTGGTTGGTTGGTTAGGCTATCACAGAGATATAATATTTGTTAAAAATTATTATACATCTATTTAATCAAAATGTTTTATTTCAGAAAATATCCAGTCTTTCTTGACTAATATAAGTATCAACTCATAAAACAGTTGGAAACAGGTCTGTGGCTGAGAGGCCTAAAAACGGTGAAACTGCTAAAGAGTAGAAACTCTGCAGATGTAGATATTACAGGGATTCCATAATTACAATCCATTTAAGCAATGGCTGGCATCTGACTTGGATCTGGGGGATGGGAACCAAAATAATCAGTTATGGGCTTTCCTTTTGTTTATCTCCACTCTTCTTCCTTTGGTTGTACTTCCTTTAGTTGCCTGTGTCATTTTTTGCTTCCGCTTTTTTACCCTTTACTGGTGGTTCTTTCTTTCCTTTAGCTTTGCCCTTTCCTTCACCATTTTTCTTGTTTTTGGCATCATTTTCTTTTGTATTTTCATTCTTTCCTGCATCTTCCTTTTCTTTGTCCTGTTTTCCTTCAGATTCTTGTCCTTGTGGTGCCCCAGCCTCACCCTTCTTTCCTTTAGATTTTGGTCCTTTTGGGGTTTTGGCCTCACTCTCTTTTCCTTCAGATTCTTGCCCTTGTGGTGCCCCAGCCTCACCCTTCTTTCCTTTAGATTTTGGTCCTTTTGGGGTTTTGGCCTCACTCTCTTTTCCTTCAGGTTCTTGTCCTGGTGGTGCCCCAGCCTCACCCTTCTTTCCTTTAGATTTTGGTCCTTTTGGGGTTTTGGCCTCACTCTCTTTTTCTTCAGATTCTTGTCCTTGTGGTGCCTCAGCCTCACCCTTCTTTCCTTTAGGTTTTGTGTTTTTGGGGGTTTTGGCCCCAGTCTTCTTTACTTTCCCTCTTTGTACGCTGGCCTCACTCTCCTTTTCTTGGGCTTCCTGTGTTTCTGGCATTTCCATGACACTCTCCTTGGCCTCCATATCTATCTTCCCGCTCTCCAGATCAGTGTCTTTTGCTTTGCTCTCTGACTCTGTTTTGTGCAGCGAGGACTCATCAGAATCTGTGAATGTGATTTCCTTCTTTAGGGCTTCCTTGTTTTCTTCTTGGCTACCCATAGACTTTGTGGTGCCTCCACTTTTTAGAATCGAGGCTCTGGGATCTGATTTTTTTGCAAGTTCTCCATCCATGTAACCTGGAAATATAACTGAGCACACAACAAAAGTGCACGATTCAGATAAGTACTTTCTCTCTATTCCTACTTTCCCCCCTGATATTGGTTTCTTTTCTTTCTTTCATTTTTTTTTGTCTTAAAACTGACAGACTGAAGATAACTTGAGTTTTTCCTGAAAATATAAATGGTGGAACGCTACACAATAAAATTATATTAAGTGTTGATAACATTCCAGGCTCTTTTCAATAAATTGGAAACTTAATGAAAGAAAAGGTAAAATGTAGTGTAAAGGAGCTGACATTTGTTCAGTATGTTATGGCTAATAAATAATGCTAAATAATAGCTAAAGAAGGATGTATTCTGAAAAGAAATAGAATTTAATTTTAGAAACAGTTATGGAAAGGAGCAATATTGTTTCTTAAAATAGAAAGAAGAAACTCAAAATATACTTTCCATATCAAATAAAAGCACATCTCATTGTGCAAAAGTAATAATGGTGCTAGCTGATATTTATTAAGTGCTTACTACACACTAGGCACTCACTGTTCTGAGCACTTCATACATATTAACTTGTGTAATCCTCACAATGACCATATAGGGTAAGTACTATTTATTACTACCCCCATTTCACAGATAAAGAAACCGAGGCACAGAAAGTTTAAATAAATGTGGATATGGTCATGAAATTAGCAGGTGGTGGAGCTAGGAGTTGAACCCAAGCTGTTAGGTTCCGGAGTTCAGTTTTAACCACTACTACTAGACTGATTCTTGCAATATCTGCTAATTCACTTTGCAAAAATTTCAGGTCCCTTTTATTACATATAGGTAAATCATCTCTGCTATGTCTTATTTATGTGTTACCTAAAATGCTTGAATTTGTTAGCTAGCTTCTGCTATTTTAAAATTTTTATTTTAGCATTATTAATCTTTAGTGATTTGATTCTCTGAATTTAGAAGAAAAAAAAGAATATCTGTGCGACCGAGAATTGTGTGGTTTTGTGCTATTGAGCAGAGGTGGGTCTTGCTTTGAAAGACAAACCCTAACATTTAATATTAAAATATTAGAAAGAATACTGAATTTAAAAGCTGAATCAGAACACCTGGGTTTAGAATTCCTGCCAGCAGGGTTTATTTAGGTAAATCAGTTAATCCACAAAGATTTACACCCCATATTTAGTTTGCTCTGCCCACTTTGTAGACGTAAGATTTCTAGACAGATAGTTTAAGGAGGATGGCCTTTAGATACAGACTAGTCCAAATCTTGGTTCCCTACCTAACTAGCTTGGGCAAACTTTACTTTCTTATCTGTAAAATGGGAGCAATAGTAGTAGCAACTTCACAAAACTGTTGTGAGGATTAAATATCATCATCTAAGTAAAGCATGGAACAGCGCATGGAACATAGTAGGTAGGCAACAAATATTGGCTATTACTACAACCAAATGAGACAGTACAGGCAAAAACTCTCTCTGAACTATTACGATGAGTTATTCTTAGTTCCAACCAAATAATTTAGAGGAATGGTTTATTGTATTACAGGAAGACTTCTTGCATAATAGCTAATTATTTGACTTTTTAAATATTAAAAGCTTTTTGGTACATTTAGGTTTGATGTTTGAAAAATTGACATACACGTAACTGTATTCTATCAGTTGTAAAAAGTGAGACACACCTGTATTAGATAAGGTAACTCTGAGTCAAAATGGATGTCTTAGTTCAGTGTTTTCTGTTGTTTTCTCTTTGATATTTTAAACTTTTGACACCAAAATAAAACTTACATTAGAAACCCTGCATTAATGCTTTCTGAACCTTTTTGTGTATTTTCTTGCTAGTGCTTGTTCAATAAGATATGGGAACTGACATTTTATTCTAGACAAACTTATTTCCAGTTTTCCAGTGAAAATCAGTGGTAATATATCCCAAGCACTTCTGTAATGAGAAAAAGAGTCCAGGGTATCTTGATATCTGTCAGTATCACCAATGGACACTTATTCTGCTTGGGGTGTGGTGTGGAGTGAAGGGGAGTGTGTTTTTCCACTGATGCTGCTAACTTTATAAATTCTATGGAATGTACTTCTAAACAAGCTGATTTTTCTTAGTATATGAGTAATTTTTAGTTTTACCAACTTTTGGAGGTAATTTGTTTCATGTTTACTACTGTGTATACTACTGCATGATCCAATATTAACCTAAATTTACCTCCTAAATAATATAGATTCAGTCAATCAAAATGAACTATTCTAGGATTTAATGAAACAATTCATGTTTATTTTAGCTACACTTTTTCTAATTTTATGGCTCTTATAAAGAATTTTATTCTTTTCTCCACTACAAAAATACCTCTAGTCATTTCTAATAGTATCTTCATACCTTTGAATGTTTTAGTATGCTTTCTATCTTGAACTTAATTAACAGAAATTAGATTTTCTGGGATTTATTTTTTTAGGAATCTAGCTATCCCATAAAGTGAGATTTACTTTATTTCAACTTTGCATTACAGAAAGAAGGCACAAATCATCATTCCACAAAATGCTAAGCTCCTCTCTCCCTTCTTCCATAATATAAATCTTCATAAATCCTGGCCAAATGTCCATTTATTGCAGGTGATAGCTTATACAACAAAATTCTAATAAAATCAAAAGATTTAATCAAGACCTTGGCAATCATTGTAATGTATTCAGGCTGATTAAAAAGTTTAAATTGAAAAAAACCTTTTTTTTTAATTGGATAAAGTTTGTTAAAGTTGAAAGATATCAAGAAATAACTATCACATTTAAAAATTCTAATTGTATGATACTTAAATAATGTAGAAAATAGACTATGGGCTGTATTAGGAAACTAATCTTATTTCATTCTTAATCCAATGGCTGTCAGGGAGAGCACAATCAGATCTAGGCTGTACCAGATCTGTTAAGCATTAGAGAGATGAATCATTATAGTTCTGAGGCCATGAATCAACATTTAAAAAGATCATACACTTATTAGCTGAATATGGAGGTGAGAAAATAAAGTGTGCTCAACTCGAGAGATGATGAAGTCTGTTGGGATGATGTGTCATAAATCTTTCCATGAACAAATGAATTATACCTTAACCTCCTTTTACTAAGAATATTAACTGGGAAGAATATATTTGAAATATTGTCAATAAGAATATATCTTTTAAAATAAAAAAATAAAAAAGTTAAACTGATTGTATTTTTGGCAATTAAAAAAGACATGTTAAGAACTAATTCACCTCCAGGAAGGGACTTGGCCTGTGAGCCCTTCTCATAGCCCCCTTTCTTTTTAAGGAAAATGCACAGTCTTATCACCTTTCCTATGTGGGGAGGGTACTGGAGGGAGGAGACACATCATCACTGCTCTGAATGCATGCTGTTTCTTGTACTGTAAGTGGAAAGAAAATAACTGTCTCTTCCAACTTCACTGCCTCTCCCCCAGTCACAAGCCAACCCTTGTTTTAGTGGAAACTGAGAGGAGTGAGGCTTAAGCAGGATGAAATATGGAGCATATTTTGTGTTTGTCGGTGGTTAGGATGTTTGAGATGCTTGAAGTGTTTCTCACTACATTAACATCTTACTTGCTTCTTATGATTATATGTTTACAGAGTTTTAAAAATTATTATTCTCTTTTGTTTCATATGATTTCCTTGATGAGCTGAGCCATGCATTAATTAATCCTGACATTGAGAGAAATTTGAATTTAGAAAACAGTTAAAAGCCAAATATAAATTTGAATGGGATGTATTTTATTTTTAACCTTTTGTGTACATTTAACTTACAGCTTCTCTAGTAGATGCATATTTGTATTTACAAATATTTGATTTATAGATAGAGTTTCAGGGATAATCTGTGGTTCAGTATAGGATGCAATAGGCTGGGGTGAAAGGTGTGTTCACTTCGGAGACAGGAAGCCCTGTGTCTACATTCTGACACTGCTGTTTACCAACTCTTTAACGCTGGGTAAATGTCTGAGCCAGTTTCCTCATCTGTAAAGTGGGGGATAATAACAGCTACCAGGCAGGGCGCTATGGTAAGAGTGAGATACTATTTTTGAAACTGCCTAGCACAGTGCATAGTATACAGTAGGTGTTCAATACCTACTATCCCTCAAGGTAAAGTTATTTAGAGGCAAGTAGACAAGATTTTGTTCTTAACTAGTTTTTTCTTCTTCTATTAATATGATACAGTAGGCCTTTACTTACAACTAAAAAAGAGTTCTAAATTACCATCAAGGAACTAATGGAATTCAGAAACCAATCTTTCTTTCATTGTATTTTGCTGGGAGTCAATGACAAGACTTTCAATGTGGAGGAGATGGCCAGACAATATGACACTCTTTTGTGTGAACTTCATCTCCTCTACAGCAATCTCTCCAAAAATAGTTATTTAAAGTATTGCTTGATTCTGGAAAGTAGGGACATTTAAAATGACCTTAGAAGCACAAGTATGTATTTTGGGAGTAGAAATAACTAGGCCAGAAAATAACTATAAACAATGTAAAATACCACTTGAGAATAGATAAGGAACTTACCCATAGGAGATAATGCTAAAAATAAAACAGAAAATAAAGATCAGTGGGGATTTTGAAACTCAAGGAGAGCCCAGCTCCCAATGATACCCTTAGTAGGTAAATGCAGAAACAGGACCACCAGGGAATATAAAACCCTCTGTTTCAGCCTCAGGAGTTTTGCTGGCCCAAGCTCTACATCCTACTGCACAGAGAAGGTGATCTTTAGGATGCCATTTAGTTAGTGTGTGGGATTGAATCCTGAATATCCTGAATAAATAATATCTATTTTACCAATTTCCTACTTCCCTGTTGCAACTGCCTACTTTCATTGTTTTTTCACAAGTCCATTTTTTGTTTTCAACCATTGTCCTTCAGATCAGTTTGAAAATATGTGTTGTTGGTCAATTATCAAAATTGTTATATAGTTCTGACACCTATTTTTTACATCAGTTTTAGGGATTTTCTTTTTTTAGTAAAAATTATTCATTGCCAGATTATAGCACAAGGAAAACAGGCTGTCTTGTGGTAGACTTGATGGGAATATATGCTACCAATCTTCTTTGATAGTAAGTAACCCAAATCAAATACAAGACCACTGTATTTTGTTATAAAAGAAAAATAGATAAGAGAGAATCAAAGTATGAGAATATCATTTAAGAAATATTTACTAAGGTAGATGAATGTGGAATGCAAAAAAAATTGGGAACAAAAACTCAAAGGTCTTAGATACAGAAATAGGTAAGGTAAGGAAATGATCCAAACTTACTGATTTTTCCAGAACGGTCCACTGAAAGAGACAAAGACAAACACATCAGTAGGTATTGGGCTTCCCTATCTCCTCCAACCCACAATCTTCTGCACTGGGTGGAATCCGTGTCATGCAACTAAGTTTTATTTATTTAAAAGTGGGAAACTTCTACTTCTCTTGACCTGTTGTAGGTTAAAAAGAATTTGTGATTAGCTGCTTTAAAAATTTGTATTGAAATATATTTGCACATTTAAGGTGTACAGCATGTTAGCTTGACATATTTACATATAGTAATATGATGGCTAGTGTAGGGATAATTACCATGATCCTTTCCTTTTTGTGGTTGGAATCATGTTTTAGTCTCTTAGCAAGTTTGATGATTATAATACAATATTGTTGTCTATATTTACTACACTGTGCATTAAACCTCTAGGGCTTATTTATGGCTCATTGCAAGCCTGTACCCTTGAATACCTGTCTTATCTCACCCCCCCAAAACTCTGGAACCACCATTTTACTTTCTGTTTTTATAAGTTTGATGTTTTTAGATTCCACATGTAAATTATACCATACAGTACTTGTCTTCCTCTGTCTGACTTATTCACTTAGCATAATATGCCCAATGTTCATTTATGTTGTCACAAATTGCAGGTGTCCTTTCTCATGGCTGAATAATATTCCATTGTATATATGCCACATCTGACTGATCTATTCATCAGTTGATATGGACATTTAGGTTGTCTTCATATTTTGGCTCTTATGAATAATGCTGTAATAAGCAAGGGAATGCATACATCTCTTTAATATCCTATTTTCATTTCCTTTTAAAAAAAATTATCTTTATTGTTGAAAGTTTTACATGTCCCCTGCCTTTTCATCTTTATTGTGAAAGTTTTACAGATATCCCCCCCTTTTCCCCCCATTGACCCTCTCCTCCCCACTTCTGCCCCCTCCCCAGGCCTTCTTTGATATACACTGAGAATGAAATTGCTGTACCATTTGGAGAATCTATTTTCTTTTTTTTAAAAAGTTTTATAACTTTATTTGACAATCTTTTTGAAAGTGGTGGTGACAGATACTTAGGTAACCAACGTATAGAGCTTGTTTGGTGAATCTTCATCCTCATTATGTGTTCTGGACAACCACACCCAGATACATAGGGACATTCCTTTGGTCAAGACAGCTTTGTTGAACTTGGTGTCAATGCACACATCTGGAGTTCCCCTCTCCTTCATGGCAAATTTCCAGATCTCTTTGAATTTCTGAGGAGCACCCTTCTTGAAACCCACTCCATGGATGAACTTGTGAATGTTGTTATGTTCTCTGGTCACTACCTTGCTGATGCCAGAATGGCCCTTCTTGCCACCGTTCTTGGTGGGAGCCATTTTGCCGGGTCCAGGTTGTAAAGATTCTGGTAGTTCTATTTTTAATTATTAAGGAACCTCAATATTGTTTCTCATAGTGGCTGAACCAATTTACATTCCCACCAACAGTGTACAAGGGTTCCCTTTTCTGCACATCCTCTCCAACACCTGTTCTCTGTGTTCTTGATAATAGCCATTCTAACTCGTGTGAGGTGATAGCTCTTTGTGGTTTGATTTTCATTTCCCTGATGATTACTGATAGTGAACATCTTTTCATGCGCCTGTTGTCCACTTGGATGTTTTTGGAAATATTTCTCTTCAGTTCCTCTGTCCATTTTTAAATTGGATTGTTTTTTATTCTTGAATTGGATATTTTATTATTTTATTATATTATTATTTTATTTTATTCTATTTTATTTTTTCCTTTACCATTTATCCCCTCTGTGCCCTCTCCCACCTCCCTATATCCCCTCCCCACTGCAATCACCACACTGCTGTCCACGTCCATGAGTTCTCTCTCTTTTCTTTTCTGCTCAATCCCTCTCCCCTCTCCCCCCAATACCACCACCCCTCCACCAGAGCTGTCTGCCTGTTCTTTACTTATGACTCTGTCTCTATTTTTCTTGGTAGTTCAGTTTGTTAATTAAATTCCATATATGAATGAAATCAGATTAACTCCTTATCTGAAAGTAGTTTGTAAAAAATTTCCCTATTCAGAAGGTTGGCTTTTCATTTTGTTTCTTTTGCTGTGCAGAAGCTCTTAAGTTTGATGTAGTCCCACTTATCTGTTTTTGCTTTTATTGTCTGCACTTTTGATGTCATATCCAGAAAATCAATGCCAAGACCTACATTTTCTTCTAGGACTTTTTGGCATCAGTTTTTTTTTGTTTTGTTTTGTTTGTTTTTTAATATATCTTTATTGATTTCAGAGAGAGGAAAGGAGAGGGAGAGAGACAGAAACATCAATGATGAGAGAGTCATTGATCAAGCCCACAACCGGGCATGTGCCCTGACCGGGAATCGAACCCTGATGGCCTGGATCCCAGGTTGACGCTCAACCGCTGAGCCACACCTGGCCAGGCATCAGATTTTATGTTTAAGTCTTTCATCCATTTTCAGTTAACTTTTGTGAGTGGTTTAAGATAAGGATTCAACTTTATTGTTCTGAATGTATTTATCTAGTTTCCCCAGCACCTCTTGTTGAAGATACTATCCTTTTTCCTTTGGGTGTTCTCCAATATACTTAAATATTAGCTGACCATATACGTGGAGGGTTAATTCTGGGCTCTCTATTCTGTTCCATTGGTCTGTGCGTCTGTTTTTATGCCAGTACTATACTATTTTGATTATTATAGCTGATAGTATAGATTGAAATCAGGAAGTGTGATATTTTTGGCTTTGTTCTTTTGTGGTTCCTTACAAATTTTAGGACTGTTTTTTCTATTTCTTTGAAATGCCATTGGTATTTTTATGGGGATTGGGTAAAATACATAGATGGCTTTGGGTAGTATGGACATTTTAACAACACAAATTCTTCTAATCCATGAACATGGGATATCTTTCCATTTGTGTCTTCTTTGATATCTTTCAGCAAAGTTTTGTAGTTTTCATTGTACAAATCTTTCACATCCTTGGCAAAATTTATTCCTAGGTATTTTATTGCTTTTTGATCCTATTGTGAATTGGATATTTTCTTTCTTTTTCAGATGTTTTATTATTAGTATGTAGAAATGCAACTGATTTCTGTATGTTGATTTTATATCTTGCAACTTACTGAAATTCTTGATTAATTCCAACAGTTTTTTGGTTGAATCTTTGGGATTTTCTATATATAAAATGATATGATCTCCATATAGCGAGAATTTTACTTCTTCCTTTCAGATTTGCTTGCCTTTTACTTTTTTGTCTTGCATAATTGCCCTTTCTAGGACTTTCAGTACTATTGAATAAGAGTGGTGAGAGGAGGCATCATTGTCTTGTTCCTGACCTTAAAGGAAAAACTTCCAATACTCTCTGGTGCATATAATCTTAGCTGTGGAGTATGTCATATATGACCTTTACTATGTTCAAGCATATTTCTTGTATACATAAACTGTCCAGGTTTTTTTTTTTTAATCATGAAAAGATGCTGTATTTTGTCAAGTGTTTTTTCTGCATCTATTGAGATGATCATATGATTTTTTATTCTATAAAGTGATGTATTACATTTATTGAATTGTGTATGTTAAACCAGTCTTGCTCCCCAGGAATAAATCTAGCTGGGTCATGTTGTATAATCATTTTAATGTGTTCTTGCATTCAGTTTGCTAATATTTTATTTAACATTTTTACATCTTATTCATCAAGGATATTGGTGTACAGTTTTCTATTCTTGTAGTGTCCTGATCTGGCTTTGTCATCAGGGTAATGCTGGCTTCATAGAATGAGTTTAGAAGTGCTCACTTTTCAGAGTTTTGGAAGAGTTTGTGAGGGATTGGTATAATATTGGGTAGAATTTACCAGTGAACCCATCTGCTCTTGAAGTTTTCTCTGTCGGGAGGTTTTAGATTACTGATTCAATCTTTTTACTCATTGTTCATCTGTTCAGATTTCCCTTTTCTTCCTGATACAGTCTTGGTAGGTTTTATGTTTCTGGGAATGTTTTTATTTCTTCTAAGTTATCTAAATTTTTTGGCATACAATTGTCCTATGTATTTCTGTAGTATGAGTTGTAATGTCTCCTCTTTCACCTCTAGTTCTATTTCTTTTTTTTTCTTCATCTAGCTAAAGGTTTGTCAAACTTTTTTAGGGTGTTTAGTTTTTTTAAAAAATTATTTTATTGTTGAAAGTATTACAGATGCCCCCCATTTCCTCCCCTTTATCCCCCTCTCCCTATCTCCCACCTCTCCCCAGTTCTTCCTTTGTCTACTGTCT